GGTGTGCGGACAGTGCTATGTTGGCAGGAGAGCTTTTCCCGCCAACATAACTATTGCCTCTTGGAGAGGTGGTTTTATTACGCTGACGGGAGAGTTCTCTCCCGTCGGCAGACAGCATCTTCTCCAGATGCACGACAGCAGCACAGCTGCATCAGTGGAGAAATGATAGTGGGGGAGAAATGGTAGTGGAAAACCAGACCAACAAATGAGTGAGACAAGGCAAGCAGGGAATGCAGAAGAAAATGAGCGTTAGGTGTGTATTTTTTAAATTGTCTCTCTATGCCTTTTCTCTATACTTCAAAGTGATTAAAATGATTTATTGCCACCTGCCAAGGTGAGGCACATATCAGATATCTAATCAAACAACTCAAGACAAAGCTGTAAGAAAATGCCCACATTCTCCGCCCTCGCTTCGAAAAGATTGTTGAAAATTGGAAAACATTCAAAAATTGCTACAAGAATGATTCAAGGTCTGGAATATCTGCTTGATAGTGAGAGACTAAAGAAGCTCAGTCTATTTAGTTTATCCAAGAAAAGGTAGATTGTCATTAAGTCATATTTTAACAAGTACCTATATGGGAATAGGTCTGCTAACTCTTTAATCTAACAGAAAAAGGCATAATGGGATCTAGTAGAAGGAAACTGAAGCTAGACAAATTCAGATTAGCAATAAGGTGCAAGTCTTTAATAGTGAGGATAATTGGCTAGAGGAATAAATTTAGTTAAGGATGTGGTAGATTCTCCATCATTCAACATCCTTAAATCAAGACTGGATGTCCTTCCAAAAGATATTCTATAGCTCAAACAAGTTATGGGCTTAATGCAGAAATTACTGGGTGAGGTTCTATGGCTTGTGTTATGCAGTAGGTCAGATTAGATGATCATAACGGTCCCTTCTGGACTTAAAATCTATGAAGACGAAATTTGTTTGGAGTGAATTAGGGATGTTTGTCCCTGTTGTGTCACCATCACGGTGTTTATGGAGAGATGGTACAAATAAAGTCAGCTGCAAAACTCTGTAGGGAAATTAGTTCTATAGGGTGCCACACTTCAACTAAATAGTCGCTGCTGAGCAGAGGCACAATATTATTTTTTAAAGATAATTTTTGTACCATATTCCATACCATCCCCTAAATGTCAGGAGTTGGGATGACCTCAGACTGGCTGCTAATGCAAATTTAATCATCAACTGCTGATGTAAATAGAAAAGGGTCAGTTTTTCCTTGTAGTACTCAAGGAGTTTTATAAACAGCTCCCAGTATTATCAGAGAGTTACACATTCCAGTGGGAAAACAGATGTCTTATAGTGAAGTGGAGCCAAAGTTAAGAAACGTATAAACCTATTAACTAGAGCATTTGACGTGGCTGGTGAAAACTCAGTCAGTTGTAGAAAGATGAAGAATTCCTCAATACACGGTGTGGATGAGTCCAGTTACAATGGTAGCATTTGCCCAGGCCAGTAAACCCTGTTAACTCATGTCACTAGTCCAATGTTATGGTAGAATCTCTCGGCCCTTCAGGCAACAGTGGAGTCTCCAGATTTCAAGAAGACATTTGAAAAGTCCCAGTTAAACAGGTAAAGGAAGGCCTGACAGATAATAAATGGACAGTCACAAGTGGAAGGTCTTTGCTCCAGTTGCTGTTCTCTCTCTGTGGAACTCCGCACTCCCCTCAAGTTCATCACAACCCTGATTTCATTTAGGGGCACTCCGCTGTTTGTCCTGACACAGAGGCTAAAAGGCCAGAACCCTCTCCAGACTAAGCTTACACTGTGACCACTGTTGTATGTAGATAAAGCCTAGGAGACTCCCTCTCTTCCTGCACTACTATGACAGCTGACAAGGGCCTCGGTTTGCATATGCATTGCAGGGGGAATTTTCAGTCAAAGGTCTTTGACTCTGGCACTAATTTTTCTTGGTCTGACAGACCTCTGCAGACAGTGTAAAGGCTTTTGATTAAAGAGTGATTGTGGGTTACATCGCTACCTCTAGTTGTTTGTGGAATCCAATCTCTGTATTCATTTGAAATTGGCTAATTTTGTATTTGTTAAATATAAACTTTCATACATGTAATACTGATACAGACAAGTCTGAAAATAGCCTAATTAGGAGTAAAGCTGTGTGTGGTTACAGAGCTGTAAGCCAATGACTATGTTCAGATATTAAATGCACAGTATAAATAAGAATCTGGGTGGCTGTTTCTGAGGGTTGTTGTGAGCTACCAGAGAGTCCTAGTGGCTGGATGTGTTTGGTCTCCTTAATCTGCCCACAAAAACTTTAGTCAGCTATCATTAGGCAGAGTGAGGTTTTTACAGTTCCACTGAGGCTTAAACTGTGGTAATATTTGGCACCAGCAAGAAAACATCTGTGCCTAATATTTCTAGTGGGATTTCTGGTTGGATTATGTAAGGGAAGTGTAAAAATAAAAAATAGAATACAACTATTTCCCTCTATTTCATAGAATCATAGAATATAAGGGTTGGAAGGGACCCCAGAAGGTCATCTAGTCCAACCCCCTGCTCGAAGCAGGACCAATTCCCAGTTAAATCATCACCAGTTAAATCATTTCTCTACGTTACGTCTAACAAAACTAATCCAAAAGGAAGTGTTAATGCAGCAAAATGGCAATTCTTGCTTCAAAGCCCAGACCAAGATGTCGTGGCTTGCCCCCAACCTAATAATGCAGATAATTAAAGCAGTAGCAAGAAGGGTATAGAGAATTGGAGCAATAGAGTTAAGCTAGAGAAATCTCTTGCTTTATAAGGCAGAGAAAGGAATGCTTTTGCAGGCTTTGTGTACTTTTGTTTCTCTCTTTCTTAGGGCTTGTCTACATTACCTGCAGGATTGATGGGCAGCGATCGATGCAGTGGGGGGAGGAGGGGGGTCGATTTATCGCATCTAGTCTAGACACGATAAGTCGACTGCCGAGTGCTCTCGTCGACTCCAGTATGCAGGCAGAGTTGATGGAGGAGCGTCAGCTGTCAACTCACTGCAGTTAAGACACCGTGGTGAGTATATCTAAGTACTTGCATAACTTAGATCGATCTTCCCCCACCCCCCAGTGTAGACCAGACCTTAGAGGGCTAACCCCATTTCATCATTAATTATCCTACTACTCCCTTTCCTGGTACCAAGGCTCTCATGGCTTACCCAGAACTGGGTTTCACCCATCCAGCTCTGACTGATTAGATATCATATGAAGATCACCACACCTCATACTTTAATTTCAAAGCAACATGGGACACTGTTATCTGGTGACCCTCACTGAAGGCTTTGAAGAGGTTCCACATTGTACTAGATTCTGCAGTTTTGTTTTGGCAAAAAATTAATCCAACAACATTTTTGCCTGGGTGTTATGCATTCCCCTTTAAACGAACCAGCAAGCTTCCTATCTCCAGCATTAAATCTGGCAGACTAAAGAGAAGGAAATTGACAGAATGTATCTGTGACACTGGCAGACCAGGTGCTAGCTCTTGCCAAGATTGAAGGCACTAGCTAAGAACTGACAAACTCATAGTTGGACACCAGACCAGTATTAAACCAGTAGGTATTAGTCTTATAAGAATGTATTTAGTGTTTAGACTCTATGAAATGCTTGTAAATTGCTGCATCCATTACTTGTAATGTCTGTATTCCAGGCTATAAGGAAATATGTAAGTTTTGCTTTATAACTTGATGGGAAGAGTGTTGCTCCTCCCCCTCCACCTCCAAGAACTATCAAAATCAGATGGGCCTCAAGGAACATTGCAATATAAAGGATTGGTTAATAGCCCTATTACACCCATGAAGAAGTGCAGAATGCCTTGTTCTATCACTCTGAATGATGGCAGAAGAAAATAAAAATAGTTGAAGATTGTTCATCTCTTTGCTGTTTGAACTCTAATGGGGCCAGAGAAGCCAAGCTAAAGCCAGAGGTCTCCAGGGGTTACCCCCTGGGTCTACCTTGAAAGACACTTTAAATTGACAGATCACAACTGTTGTGCTTCAGATTTAGATGGTAACTCATTTGTGTGTATGTTTGCTTGCTTTAACCTGCAAATAACTCATTTCTCTTTCCTACTTTATACTTTAGTGTATTACAAGATTAGTTACAGATCTGCTCAAAGATCTAGGACAGCGGTGGGCAGCCTGCCAGGGTAATCCACTGGCAGGCTGTGAGACAGTTTGTTTATATTGACCGTCCACAGGCATGGGTGCCCGCAGCTCCTAGGGGCTGTGGTTTGCCATTCCTGGCCAATGGGAGCTGCAGGAAGCGGCATGGGCCATAGGGATGTGCTGGCCACTGCTTCCTGCAGCTCCCATGCGATGGGAACAGTGAACCGCGGCCCCTGGCAGCTGCAGGCAGCCATGCCAATGTAAACGAACTGTCTCTTGGCTCGCCAGCAGATTACCCTGACGGGCCACGTGCAATCCCTAGGCCACAGGTAGCCCAACACTGATCTAGGATATTAACTGATCTGGGGTAAGTGACTGGTGTCTTGGGATTAGAAGTAGCCTGAACATAGTGATAAATAGTCACACCAAAAATCACACCAAGTCCAGTCTGTCTGGATGGCAATGTAGACTGGAGCCTCTAAGGGGACCTTCTGTGCCTCCATGATGAGACTATCACAATGAGCCAGGACTTCACATTTCTTACCAGTGTAGTAAAATTGAATTATAGAATCTACTACCAGTTTAGGTATATGCACTGTTTCTGACAGTCTGCCCAAAGGCAGGCACTCACAATCATGACTCACTCCTGGACCCACACCAGACAGTATTACAGTATCAAAGGAAATTGAGGGAGGTGGTCCAAAGGGAATTGAGAAATTATGCTGCTAGTCTTAAGAGTTTTGTGTAGAGCCACATTCTATTCTGATAGGTGCATCTTACTCTAAACTCTAGCTGATGTGCTAAATCAGTGTTGTGTTTTTTTTTAAATTAAACAACTCACAAAACCAGAACACTAGTCGTTAGAGCTTTTCTTTTCTCTTGCGTGCATTATGTGGTAGATAGATGTAGCTTATTTTATTTTTTATTGAAGTTTTTGTATTAGTCAGAATGGTCTGAAAGTAAAAGATGCTCCAGAGCAGACAGGAGCGTTAAAAACAGGGACAAGACAAATGCAATACAAAATGGAGGGACAAGAAATCAACTTAACTGTATACTGTAACATGCTGGATTTTAACTGATAATGATACCATACCATTTCAAATAACTAGGAAAGTTATGTCAGTATTTTTTCCACATTGAAATTGGGCTTCTATTTATAAAAGATTTAAAAAAATAAGAAAAATATGGTTATGGTAGAAAAAATATTAGCATAGGAGGAGGACTCCCAGCTGTATGACTTTGCTGTTCAGGGATGACCTGCATAACTCAAACAAGCTAATAAAGCTTCCTATATCACACCACTAGAAATTGATATCCCATATATTTAAGAGAAAAAAAATTACATGTTTTAAAAACACTATTAGGACTACTTTCTTAATCCTTCTAGCTGTAAAGCTAGGTTCTGTTAATATTAATTCACCCATACAGCCTTTTGAGGGGGAGAGAGAGAGAGTTTATAATATTTCTTATAAATGTTTAAAAGTTTATACTGAAAGTGTCATATCCAATATCTCAGCCATCCAGGGACAGAACCAAAAGCTGCATCTCTGCCTCTTTGGAAATCTGGGAATCACAACTTTCCAATGGTGTAGACAGCATGTTTTTAACTAAGATACCATAAGATATTGGACCTTAAACTTGTCACTTAATATTGCAAGATGGAGTTTTGGTAGGAGCAAAGGGTTAAAGAAATATGGTAATTTTTTATTTTTAAAATACATAATTGTAATGTTGGCTGTTTAAACTGCTCAAATGTTTAGATTATGAGATTGAATTTTGTTGGACATGTATGAGTACGGACAGAGCAAGTAAACCAGTCAAACTTTCATGATAAATGCAATTTATCTCACTGGATGTCAGCATTGCATATCGGGGTGTATGCATAAGGCTACACTGTTAGCTAAAACACAGGAAGAATTTCAAAGCTCTGTGTAGCATATCAACTTCTTGCAACCTCTTCAGGACAAGAGTAAAATATTCCCAGTTACCAGACAGCATTAACATTTATATTACATTCAACCAAGTCTGTCCATCAAATCACATCAGTTTTTACACATTTTTGCATTCCTAAAATTACCAAAATGATAAAGAATGACTATTTCCCTCCTACTAAGCCACACATAAGAGAAGTCTTAAGATCTTAGTCATCCAACCCTATCACTTTTAAGGCTTTGTTTACATAAGCACTTTTGTCGGTCAGGAGTGTGAAAAAAAATACCACCCCCCCACCAACCAACAGAAGTTTCACTGACAAAAGTGCCTCCCCCCAACATAGCTACCACTGCTTGTTGGGGGTGATTTAGTTTATGCCATCTGTAGAGCTTTCTCCTGCTGGCAGAGAGCGGCTACACAGGAGATCTTACAGTGGCGCAGCTGCGCCACTGTAAGGTCCCTAGTGTAGACAGAGTCTGTGTTACATTCATCAGTTTTTACATAACAGTGACACCTGCTGGCCAACTGGTTTAGATGCAGTTTGTTTTCCTGAATTTATAGGTTCCTCCCTCCCGTTACTTGTTACGATGAATTTTAGAAGGTATCAACTTACCCTTTCAGTAATACAAGTCTGTACCAAGTATACTTTTCAAAAAAGGAAAGCGCTACTATGCTTATAGCACCAGCCGTTAACTTCATTCATAGACTTCTTTTCCCTGGCAAAAGCCAGGCCATTTCTGCAAAGCAGACTTGTGCAGTTTTTTTACAGAAACGTGGAAAGAAAAGCTCCAGTTACTGGTTTACCAAGTATCATATACAATAGCCAAGAACTGTATGCTGGAATGTCTTTCACATAATTACTGTCCAAGAAAGGAGGCCATAGGATCATCAGGTCTTTGGCGTTTCATTCTATAAGCCTCCATTTCCTCTTCTGTAGGCTCCCTTGTTTCATACATGCTGTTATATGGCCTCTTCCTCTCATCTAACTGCATGATTTCTTTAACCTGGAGGAGACGAGCCTCTTCTGCATTTAATGCCTGAAGTAAAAGCAAAAATGAGGTTAAGAATCAGGACAGATTCTAGTACTTTAACTAAAAGCACCAGCAGCAGACAGAACAGTGGGATTCTATAATCCACACAAAACAGCCAATGCTAGCTCTCATTTTACACATACAAGCCTTAAGTGTTTAACCTCCAACTACTGTGCCACATTAGAATTTGTCACGCTTAATGTTTTAATTTTGCTGTCAGTTTTCTCTGTTCACACTATTATTTAATTTAGCCATTTTAAAATTTGTGTAAATGTAGGATGTTAGGGTGTGGTAATTTTAAGGATTCCTGAATTTTCAGCTAAGTTTACATAAAGGGTGAAATTCTCTAATGCGTTTTAGTGACTTAAGAACTTTTGAGAATTTCATCCAGACTGAATAAGGATAGCTTTTCCCGCCCCCTTTTGTTTTTTAAAAGACATTAAATATTCCTTCCCTACTGTAATGCTACTGTTTGCTATTCAGCAGAAGCTGTGGTTTATCCAAAAGATCGCTAAAGTATATCAGTGTAAGACTCCCATGCTGTAACTGATAGTACACGGGCAGACTGCTGTACTTCTGTGGAGCCCCATTCAATTACTTCATTGGGACTTTGTACAGTTGCCATAATCTACTCATGCACACCATCAATTGCAGGATAGGGCCTAATTTTCTCCTTGGGATAAAAGGCACTTTAAGGAGAGAGGAGTTTTGCTGGTTTGTTCCCCACCTCGCTTCACACAATTAATTAGTTTGGTGTTCCATTTTTCTGCTATCACCCACTGTTCTAACCATTTACTTCAAAGCAGCTATACAACTCTGTCTAAAAGTCACTTCAACTCAGAGTCAACAGCAGAGAAACCCTATATACAACACCACAAGAACCATGATTTTGGGACCTTCATACTACTGACCAAATATTTCTTAAGAAGAACAAGAACTCTGTTTGAAAAAGCACAGTGCACCTTTTTCAGTTTTTCATGTTTCTTTTTCTCTTCACCCTCACTATCTGAATTTGGACTCTTCTTTTGCTTCTTCTTTTTCTTCTTTTTCTCATCTTTCTGTTTTTCTTGATGTATCTGGAGGTAGGAAAGCAGGAGTTTTAGACATATGCCATGGGTTATGAACATGCATGTCCAAGGAACTTATCTCTAGGGTCTATCAACTCTGTATCTCAGGAGTTTAGTTTGGGAACATTGAGAGATGAGACATTAATGATCCAATACTTTATAAATCTCCTAGTCAAGCTCAGAAGAGTTGGCCCATGCATCTTTGTAGTACAGTCACTACACCACTCCACCTTTTAAAACTCCAGATTAACAGAATGCAAAAATCTTCCTTCCCATAATCTTTTAAAGTAGTTATCCTTTTCTAAAGGGAAGACACGTGGGAGGGGAGGTAACCTACCTCCATCAATGTTTTGGATTTTGCCATATACTCTTCCTCTGTAGGTTTTTCCTCTGGTAAGTCTAATGCAGTATTCTGCACAATGAAGATAAAAGAAAAGGCATGAAAACTCACTATGCATGTACCAAAATGGAAAGACAAGTTGAATTATTAGCCTTATTTTTATAGCAGCATCCCATTGTTCTAATGTCTAAAAATGAAGTGATACTTACAGCGATTTCTTTCCCAGCTTCTCCTGTACAATAGGAATACTTGACAAATGAGTGGCAGCATTTATATCCCCATCTGCCTTCCTTCCAATATGAACCCCATATACACTGCAAGACAGACACAGTACTGAAGCAATCACATAATAGGAACATTGCAAATCATACATGATTTTTGTTTAACTCTTTTCAGAAAAGTAGTAGTTCATCCAAAAATCTTCAAAGTTCATCAGTTTTCCCTCCTAAGATCTACAAGAATTAGCACATGGGGGAGATTTTCAAAGGCAAAGGACAGCTAGGTGCCCAACTCCCATTACAACTCAAGGGGAGTTGGAAGCATGACTGCCATTTGTGCCTTTGAAAGTTCCCCACATACGCTCCACTTGATTCACACACAGCTCCTATTAGCAATAAATTCTCCTGCTTGGAGGGAGAGACTTAAGCAAGCAACTTATCCAAAAAGATAAGTTCACTACTTTAGTGACAGTGCATCAGTTCCCATGGCACTTTGTCATATTTCCTCTGCTTTACCAGGAAATTTAGCTCTTGCTATTGTTTTTCAACTTAGGTGCTTACTGTGTGGTTGTTGATAGTTACATCCTCTTCATACTTAGAACGGACAATAGCTTTTTCTTGTCCTTTGATGACTGTTCCATGCCTAGAATACTCCACATAGTCTTCTGTCTGGGCTAACAGCAGTTCAGCTGGTGGAGCATCTAGATGTTCTTGTCCTCCATACTACAACAACAATACAAGCAACATTTTTGAAGATCTATAGCAAAAAAAAAAGTCATTTAGACTTGCAACTGCATTTCAAACTCATCACCTCACTACCTTCCCTGGGCTTTGGGTGCTATGCAAGCACTTAGAACATTAAAATGTAAACTGTGATCCATTTTTTGTGCTTCTGATTTACTAGCTAAAGATTCAAATTTCTGCTACAGCGGTAACACTTCATATTTTTTTTGTTTGAAGAAATATTACCAGCTCCAGTGCTATATCCCAATTTACATATAGAACATCTCGTTTAACCCACTACAAGTTTTCAAAGCAAAACAAAGTTAGAAAAACAATCCAAGTATAGAACAATTAGACAATATAGTTTGTCAACAACTTGTGCTTAACAAATGTTAGCACCTTCATGATTTATTTTTACCACGTGGTCTAAGTAAAACTGATCGTAATACAGCAAAATAGAAAAATGTTTATCTAAAAAACTGCACTAATTATGGCAATCCCAAAGTCTGAAAATTAAGATTTTGAAAAGCACTTATGTTGTGTGTGTTGTGAAATGTTTGCAAATACTTAGTCTAAACTATCCCAAGTTATCTTCTTCCTAAAAGATCAATTTTAACAATGCAAAAACTATTTTCCACCACTTGTATGTATTTTAAAACATAAATCCAGACCCCCACATTTTGCACTGCCAAGTTTTCACCAGAGGTACATTCTGACAGCTGAGGGATGAGGCTCGTGACCACGGAAAATGCTAACAGACCTTCAGCTATACTAATGTGTCTATATTAAATAACTTACCAGACACAACAGGTATAAAGACTACATAATTTTAGAGTTTGATCAGAAAGGTTAACAGGTGGTTTGGCCCGCACTAATAATGTGGGTTTTTTTGTTTGTTTTTTTTAAATGAAAAAAGAAAAAACCCAAGCTGGACCCGCTCTTAACAGCATTCTTGTTCGTTGGGCATTTGTTTTTGTTACCTTCTCTAGGATGCTTTCTTTCTGCTGTTCCTTAAAATCTTCTTTTTTCACCTTGAAGGATTTGTACAGGAGTTCCAGTTTTGTAGGGTCTGCTTGAAGATGAACTTCGGAGCCTTTGTCATAAGCCTCCCAAGCAAACACTATATATAAAACAAAGAGCCATCACTTAATTAAAATGATCATTTTGAATCCTATACATGCTTTTCAAATAGCACCTTTAACCTATTCTTTGTCTAAGAGTCATCATGCAGTCAAGTTTACCTGTAACAAGAGACCTTTCTTCCTTGGCACAGAAATATGGAACTTCAATTTTTAAGGTATGATTTTTCTGATTTAATGAAATACTTACACTGAGTTTGTGCCATTGAAATGGTATCACCAGTGTAACGAACAAAGTTGTCACCTGCATAACCAACTCTACAAAAAAAAAAAACCCAAAAAACAATTATTTAAGTGATGTGCAACACCCTTACTCTCTGTTAAGCACATAAATTCCTTCATCCATTTTTGGCATCGTTACTTTTGTTAACTGTGAATCTCTCTTGCTTGAAAAGAACAGCCACCCCAAGACTCCCAAAATGGTAAGACCCTCCTGCAACATTGTTTCTATTCCCTACCTGGGCCACAGAAAAACATACACAAATGTAATTCACATCACTACTCCTCTGCTTTCTCCCTGAGAGTTAACCCATTAGCTCTGCAACATTCTGAATGCTTGCTGGTTTGGGGAGCAAGAGGCCAACCTATGGATTCTAACAAGTATTTGACAGGGAAGCATGAAGTTCAAATTCTGGACAGTGGGCTATCTGAATTTGGCAGTTATTTCTGGTGTGATAATTGCAGGTAAAGAGGAGAATAGCTGCAAACATCCAACTACTGAAATACATTTACATATACATCACTGTGGTCTAGAGATACCATCTCTACTATAGAGGGGTTCTGCTGTAACCTGCAATTTGCTGTTCTGCCCACTTTACAATTTGTACTCAAAAAATTAGTATCAATCCTATGGTAATTAAATTGACAAGATCACTTTAAAGTATCAACTCTCAACAAAATGATCCTCATCAGCACTGTGTGTGCTTCTTGTAAGTTAGAAGAAAAAAACAAAATAAGCAGAAGAATGTAACCAAGAAAGTATTAAAAGGTTCCCTCCTCCACAACTGACTAGTCGCTCATTGGTAGCAAGATACACAGGACAGCAAAGAGAAACAAGGTTAATATTAAGACAATTTTAACTCTATCTAGTTTTGTTATAGATGTGTAGCCAAAATCCCAGTTTCAAACTTACTCATCTGGATTCTTGCCTGCATTGGCATATGGGTTCTCCCTCATTGCTCTCGTTTTGGGATCATAGTAGGCAGAATTTGGATCTAGATTCCTCAAGTACTAAAATAAGGAGACATACAAAATGTTTACTTAGAAATTTGGGATGCTAACAGAACTGAAAATATTACTGTAATCCCTTCATAGATACTTTAAAGTGTTAGCTGACATGCCTCCAACTGGTATTACAACAGCTTCCTTTAAGTTGGGATAACCATGATAGGTTGCCTACCTTTGTAAAGCACTTGACGCTCTGTAGGTGAAAAGCGCTATCTAAAGGTCAGAATTTTTATATTTTGACAAAAGGGAAATGGGTAAAGGAAGGTCATGAGTTACCCAAGGTGCCATACGAAGATCAGTGGCAAAGCTAGGAACAGAAACTAAGTCTACAGGCTCCAAGCCCCATACTGAATCCACTAGTCAGAACTACTAGTTAAGAGAACACAACCTTAGAAACAACAGGTAATAAACTTTTTTTTTTATTAAGAGAAAAGTCATAATATAACCCAGTTCATTTGTTGTGGCTTACTTTAGCAATGTCTTCCCGAATACGCAAGTTTCGGACTGTAATACGTCTTTTGGAGTCAAAGTTCTGTCCAGGCATGTCAATATCATCTGCATATTTATCTTCATCCTCACCTTCACTGTTATGATCTCTTTCCTGAAAACAGAGTCAGAAAACTACTAAGTAAAATGATGGGCGTTCAATCTAGAAATAAATACAACAACCCGATTATTCGTTTAAATTGATTAGTTAAAAAAAAAATCTTTTAAGAACCCCTCAGCCCATCCCCCAGTCTCTCTAATTAGGCATTTGCAATGTAAATTCTGGGTTAAGTGTTAGAATCTATTCTACAGTTACACTGAAAAAAATTAGAAATAAATCTGTTAGAGGATTTCCATTTCTACTTATGAAACCCAAGAGTTAAAATACACTTAAAATAAAACTGCAATTAAAAAAATATGGCCACTGTTCTTGATATGGCCTGGATTTTCTTTAAAAGTCAGTTATTCTCCAGCCTGACAACTTGTTTCTAAGAGTTAGTACCACAATAAGATTCAAAGACAAAGAGCCAGATCCTGGAACCCAACTCCAGCTACTTTGCACCACTCTGGCAGCACAAAGCAGCTGCAAAGCCAGTAACTCCAGGCCTTGCCCCTGCTGAGCTTCCATTGCTCAGGGAATCCATAGATGGCATGAAGCCACCACAGCAGGTCCTATGCCAACCCCATCCAGCATCTGGTTTTCCTTCCTTTGAGTGAATCATTTGGTAAGTGTCTTACGGTCTGTGAATTTGATTCCTCCTCTTCCCAGTGGTGTCTTGGGGAGTTCTACAGCAAAAAAAAAGAGCACGTGAGCAGAGAATACAAAACTTTAGGGTGGGAAGATATTTGGGAGGGGAAAGTAGAGGAAATTGTTGGACAATCAAAGCAGGGCTTACCCCAAAAGCAGTGGAAGACAAATGTGATAACCATGGAACAAACTGCAGAACAGATCATTGTGATATACATTTTTTGCTTGAAAGTTTACAAGCCTCTCACAGCAGAGAAACCTTTTTGAGAAATATTTTAATTATTTTCACATCAAACCACTATATATCTCGCAAGAGTGATGAGTCCCTGAACTGTGAGAGTGTTGCATAAAGTCAGTTCTACTGTCTATCAACACGGATAGTTCCAAATTAATGTCTCATTAGACCTTAACATTTCAGAAGTATTTTGGAATTGATGATTTAACAGGGTTGCAAAGTACCTTAGTCATTTTTGTTTAGAGACCAGAACCCTTGGTTTAACCCAGAGGAAGTCAGCTGAAGTGTTTTAAGAGGGACCAATTAATTTCCAGGTTGAGGTGACCTCTGGAGTGGAGGAGAAGGGAAGATCCACGGGGACACTGGAGGAAGGACAAGGAGTCCTAGGAGAAACTCATCTAATCCCACTCCACATTCTCTCTCCCAGAAATCTTTCCCTGCATTCTTCACATGCTCCAAGTCTGCCACCTCCCTCATGCCCAGAGTCACCGGGGGAGGCTGAAGGTGATCTGGCATTTGGATGAAACTATGGAGAGAGTGTCTGACCACTTAATGAAGGGAAATAAAGAGCATGAAGTTCTTCACCCCCAGAGAATGGCTTGTTGTGGAGAGCGAAAGGGCCTTCCTTTTGGCTCTGGGAGGGAGATGGAGGTTCCTGCTGGGGCAGGTAGAAGGAAAGAGATGGGTGCTATCTTTAATTAGCTCTGATTGTTCTGTTTAGTCCTTAGGAAGAAGAGTATATCCTGTGTCAGGATTAGAGACCAAGTTTACTCGGCCATCTAGGGACAAAATTTGTGGTTACATTCCCTAGAAAATAGAGGACAAATGGCATAAATTCTTTGTTTTGTTGTTGATCAGAGTAAACACAGTATACTATATTCTGAGAACTACCCCTCACTTATAGCCATCTCTTTATGTTTAATTTTTTTGAAGACATGCAAAGTTACCATTAAACCCTCTTACAAGAATATTTAGTTAATTTAATTACTAAGGCCCTAATTATAATCCAAGAGCCACTAGTGAGAAGGAAAATGAAAACTACAGCCACAGCAAAGAGATCTGCAAGCCAAGAGGAATGTGTGTTGATATTCCCCAACCTCAAAATAAAGGTTAACCAAGAAACGACAAATAGTAGCACAAAAATCTGAACAAGATGTGAAGTGTGGAATTCAGATATTGAACCAAGTTCATACTAACCATTGACAAATCAATCCATGGGAAGATTTCATAGTTAGAAAGTTAGTAAAAAGAAAAGGAGTACTTGTGGCACCTTAGAGACTAACCAGTTTATTTGAGCATAAGCTTTTGTGAGCTACAGCTCACTTCATCGGATGCATACTGTGGAAAGTGTAGAAGATCTTTTTATACACACAAAGCATGAAAAAATGGGTGTTTACCACTACAAAAGGTTTTCTCTCCCCCCACCCCACTCTCCTGCTGGTAATAGCTTATCTAAAGTGATCACTTTAGATAAGCTATTACCAGCAGGAGAGTGGGGTGGGGGGAGAGAAAACCTTTTGTAGTGGTAAACACCCATTTTTTCATGCTTTGTGTGTATAAAAAGATCTTCTACACTTTCCACAGTATGCATCCGATGAAGTGAGCTGTAGCTCACAAAAGCTTATGCTCAAATAAACTGGTTAGTCTCTAAGGTGCCACAAGTACTCCTTTTCTTTTTGCGAATACAGACTAACACGGCTGTTACTCTGAAAGTTAGTAAAATTATACAAAACCTCTCAAGCCTAAGTATTTCACTCCCTGAATAAAAATTACTAACAGACAGCATGATTCTCTAAACGCTGTTTTCCATGCCTTGGCAAGGCCATCAATTGTCAGGACTGGAAAATGGGAGCCTAACTATGAAGCAAAGATTAACCCCTTTTCACTTAATTCAGAGTATTTTAAAGTACTTCCTGATACAAGTACATTTTTCTTGTTACTGTACTTACTTTATAAAAAGGATTAGAGTAGTGGACAATATAGGATAAACAGGCTTTATAAAAATGCCCAACAGACAAAAAAAAAAAAAAATCACTGCTCTACCACTTGCCCCAGTGCTAGGTGCTACTCCTATCAACGGCATGTGCTGAAAAGCAAGCAGTTGCAAAACAGAAGCTTCAGATCTGCACACACAAAAAAAAGATAAGACAGCAAATGAAGCACATATATGTTAAAATGTCCTCTACTAGTTATTTGGGCTACCAGCATCTGAAGGCAGAGATGACCTGTTCTATTCAGAAAAGGAAAAAAGGCACTTTTTTTGTTTCAGTTTGAAGTAAAATATGCCAGGTTTTAGCTCACTTACCACCTGCTCCATCAGTTTTCCTGAAGCCAACTCTTCCTGCAACTTCTGGGCTTTCAGAGTACGTTTAGCCTAAATATAGAAAGACGGTGTTTTTATTTTATTTTGCTAAATAAAAGTGATCTATCAAAAACACTCATCATAAGCACCTCTGGGTGCATTTAGAACTTTAAATGCACTAGTTAGGACCCGAATTTGTTGCTACCAACCAACTGCTACCACTCAAGGTATGCCTACACTGCAACGAAACACAAGCTGACTCAGGCTTGCAGGGCTTGGCTTGTGGGGCTAAAAAATTGCAATGCAGATGTTAACAGTTTAGGCTGGAGCAGAGGCTCTGAGACCTGAAAAGGAAAAGGGTCTCAGAGCCCAGGGTCCAGCCGGAGCCCAAAACCTCCACTGCAGTTTTATAGCCCCGCAAGCCTGAGTCAACTGACTCGGGCCAGCCTTAGGTGTTTGATTGCAGTGTAGACTTATCCAACGGACCCAGTGCCCCAATGTCCGTTTTTATACTGCTCTTCCAAATCCCTACCTACTGGCTACATCACGCTAGTCTCTTGATTACTAGAGGGAGGGAAGAGTACCTAAAGGCTATCTTCCTGTCAGAACCAGTTTACTTAATATGAGCAAGTTTACAGGTCCATACTCTCTAAAATACTCTGGCTCATTGGGCTGACACAGTAAGGCATGTCAGTTTCACTGAGTTAAAATTTGAAGTGTCTGCTTTCAGCATTGGCATTCATATCTGCTATAGAAAACATTAAAAGTCCAGCTAAGCTCAAATATTTTAATTCCGTGGTCAATCATTATCAATATTTACTGTTGGTGATTATACATACAGAAAAATTAAGTCAATTTAAGAAGTGCTTGCAATAGTGTGTATGCAACTCTGATCTGCAGTTCATTTAAAGGGTGAATCCTTCTGCAATTCCATTTTTATTTTTTAGTTTTTAGTTCAACAAGTAAAGAAATCTAAATAACCAAAGAGAAAATCCACATATCTTTTGCATTATGAATACAGCACATGTTGAAGAATGTTTAGTAAGTCTATTCACCTAAATACCTACATACCAAGTCAACTTTGGAATATTCTTCTACAATCTTCATGTGCTCTTCCGGGTTATAACCATTCCAACGATCTCTCTTCCCATCGTAATCAAACATTAGCGTAGGCTGCATATGTTCATCTGGTGCAATATTAAGGCCTGTGAATTTTGCTCCAACTTTCCTAGGTCTCTGAAAAAGGGAAGCCACCGTTACCTTTGCATTATTTTAGTCTAAAGGACAGCCACATTACTCACTTATACACATCTCTTTAAAAAAATGAATTCCTCTTAGATACCTTGACAATACAGCAACCTACAGCTCTACATATATGTCCACTGTTACTTCTAGATTTTATATACTGAAGTCAGCTTAAAAAGACATTGACTTAAAACAACTAACAAAAGCGTAGCTGCTTTTATTTTATCTACTGCTGCCAACACCACCTAAAACAGAGGCAGGCAACCTATGGCATGCGTGCCAAAGGCGGCATGCGAGCTGATTTTCAGTGGCACTCATGCTGCCCAGGTCTTGGCCACCGGTCTAGGGGGCTCTGCATTTTAATTTAATTTTAAATGAAGCTTCTTAAACATTTTAAAAACCTTATTTACTTTACATACAACAATAGTTTGGTTATATATTATAGGCTTATAGAAAGAGACCTTCTAAAAATGTTAAAATGAATTACTGGCATGCAAAACCTTAAATTAGAGTGAATAAATGAAGACTCGGCACACTACTTCTGAAAGGCTGCTGACCACTGACCTAAAAGAACTCTTTACTGGAAGATTAGTTTTTAGTTCCTTCATTGTGCATTTCCCTGTTTAGACAGTTAGGCTGCATCAACAGAGGTAGTTTTGGGGAATTCTCCCACTATTGGATCACTTCTAGAAATGGCAAGAATGCTAGTATAAATTAACAATGGTGTTTTTGACTACTAATCCTAATCAGAGGAGATCTGGAGAACACAAGTAGTGTAGAACAATGCTGGTCTATACTAGAGTTGGTGGAGCTGTACCAGTGCTAGAACAAAGATGAGAGGATTTCTGCAAAGTCATACATGTGAGCAAAGCCTGTGTTAGTTTCCCCTGTTTTTGTGGGTCATACACGCAAGGGAGAGAGAAAAAAAGTTTTGTTTTTTTTAAATAAAGTGTGATTGTAAAAACCACCAAAAAAAAGTTGACACAAAGACTCAGAGGCAAATGCAGTACATGAAGACAGGTTTCAGTGGTAGCTGTGTTAGTCTGTATCAGCAAAAAAAAAAAAAAAAGAGGAGTCTTTGTGGCACCTTAGAGACTAACAAATGTATTTGGGCATAAGCTTTCGTGGGCTAGAACCCACTTCATCAGATGTATGAAGTAAAAGATACAGGAGCAGGTATAAATACATGAAAGGATGTGGGTTGCTTTACCAAGTGTTTATACCTGCTCCTGTATCTTTTACTTCATACATCTGATGAAGTGGGTTCTAGCCCACGAAAGCTTATGCCCAAATACATTTGTTAGTCTTTAAGATGCCACAAGGACTCCTCGGTTTTTTTGCAGTACATGGAGTTACTTTTTAAACTGAACAGATTCAAGTTGGTGTCTCATCGTCAGACATTTAAGAATACTTTTAAGAAATCCCATTTTAACAGATTTGGAGCTGAAAAAGGCATCCTGGGCTGTGCTTGACCCAAAGCAGTGTAAGACAATTACTTCAATAAATTATACAATGAAAAGAAAAGCGTGGGTGAGATGTGGTAGTCTGACGTGCCCGTTTTCTTATCCCAATTGGTAAATGTTTTTATATTTGACCCATAATACCATGAAAAGATAAGTCTTTTGATATGCTAACAGTTTTTTCCTTATGTATTCCTCCTACATAAAACTGGTTTGGATGAACAGCCTTCAAACATCTCAAACTGTATTTGAGAGATTGATTAAAATCACTCTGAAGAGCTAGTTTAGATGTGTCAAACTACATATTTTCCACCAATGCAAATTCACAGTAATATTTTCCAAGAAACAGTCAGACACCAAAAGTAGTCAGGTTTACCTCCAGGCAGTCTTTCTTTGTATGTGTCATTGCACCACAGTTCTCACAGGCTCCTTTGCGGTACTTAGTTGCAACAGCATTCTAAATATAAGGGGGAACAAACACTGTGATATAACACTGACCCACACATTTCCAATAAGCAGCTTTGGCTGATGTGCATTTTTCATTAGCCTGATTAAGTGAAGGTGAATCTGTGCACACAAAATTAGCTCTACAAAGCCAAAACACACAGTTTCAGTTGTTTCCCAAATGCTCTGGAAAGCCTATGGCAAAGGTTTCCACTTTCACTCTGCCCCTCCCCCCAGTCAGTACAGAAACTAGAGGGAATAGATATTTCAGAAGAATTGATCATAGGAATCTATAAACTCCCAAACTTAATAGTGCTGGATTGAGCTGTCAGATTTTCTCCTCTAGACTAGATTATTCATTTAAATACATTCACCTTAGCATGTAAACTAAAGTAATTTAATTTGATTGCTATTTAATAACCTATTTTAAAACAGTGGTCTCATTTCAGTTATTAGTAGCAGTTTCTACATTACCAAGAAAAGAAAAAGCAATTCCACCCTTGTTGGACGCAGATACAGAGAATCAAAATAGTAATAAAGACTGAACTATACTCACAGACACAGTCCCTTTAGAAAAGATCTGAAACCTATTAGTGGAGCACTGTGTCTAAATAAACTAAGAAATTAAATCTCTGGATTACAATCCAACACCATTTTATGGTTAGTGAGAGATTATAAGACATTTTACATTGCTTTAATACAGTTAAGGAAACCACTGGATATCAAAGGAAAACCACGATCAAACTTGTTGGGAGCCCTTCTTGGCAATTCTTACACTAAAATACACTCCACATCCCCAATTTTTCTCTACGAAGAGAAAAACTAATATTCTGCTTCAATTTTTTTCAGTAGTCAGAAAAGATCACAACAGAAAAAAAAAACAGACTAAATATACTGTTATTGTTCTTCAGTCTTGGTGTGTAGGGGTGCAGCTCTTCCAGCAAGTGAAAAAGAAGGAAAAAATATTTCCATGTGGGGTAAGTGAGGACAAAACTGAACACTGGAGTTACCAAAACTTAGATTAGTTATAGTGAAACACTTTTCATAATAAAATCATCACAAAGAAAAATCAATTTCATTCAAAGAAGATTCTCCTATATTTATCACAATTCTTCCCTTCCCAAAACAATGTTCCACACGTCTCATCTTTGCTACACCATAAAGATATTTTACCTCTTGAACACCTCGTTTGTACCATTCCACAGAGGAGGTAAACTCTTTCTGCTTCTCTGGCTGAGGTCTCTGGTGCTTTAATGTAGGTCTTTTTGAAGGATCTATGTACCATGGCACTGAAGAGATGTACTGAGGAATATGAGGGTTGATATCTCTGTAAGAAGATATCAAAAATATTTAGACACATGCAAATGATGTAAACAAGCTGAGCTGTAGTAAACATTATCTTAATGAATTTAAACTAACTATAATTGTCAAAATAAGTAAACAATGATTTTCCTTTCTTTTGTTGCAGTCAGTTCACATAGGCTCACATCTTGCCTCCAAATCAAGTAACTTGGCTTGGTGCTACAGTATACTGGGGATACAGAGACAGAGCAATCCCCCTTTCTGAGATGCAAAACTGACTACTACACCATGACTACTACTCCTGCCAAAGTTAGTGAAATAGCCTTTGGTACAGATCAGAGGTAGAGGAAAAGAAATGGAGAATCTCCATAACAGGCTCTCCAGTCCCACCCTCTGCCTAACACCATAATCCCATTGTACTCAACCACAAGAGCCCCCATCTACAATTGGCAGCTCCACCCACTGTATACCAGATTAGTACCAGTTGTTTGTTTGTTAAAGGAAACTCTAACTTGCAGAAGAGTGGGGATGATTTACGCCTGAGCAGCTAATTCACAAAGTTCAGCTTTCACAAAAAGTCTCCCCAGCATTACTGGAATTTAGCCATTTTCCTCAACGTTTTCTTTAGTAATGAGCAGGGCAAGTGTATTTTATCTGAAACAGAAAATCAAGCATAATCTTAGATGAAACTTACTTTCCTTCCTCATCCACTTCAGCTGGAGCATTACCCAACTTTCTCTGTTCTTCTAGTTCCTTCTTTTTCCTCCAGTCTTCTCTTGTCATCTTCTTTGGTTCCTCCAAGCTTACATCATTCGACCCTCCCGCAGGGGTAGAGTTAATTATTTCAACAGTCCCAGATGCCATTGTCTTTTTCCTTCTGACACGAACACATATGGGGATATTGAAAAGGACAATAGATTTAACACTCTAAAGAATTATTAAAAATTAAAGGAAAATCAATGTTTAATATATTAGTTATTTTTATTTGACATCACAATCCTTTACAATTTTTTCACATCACTTAGTTCCTTCCAGTTTTTTGTTAAGCATATTGGCTTAACTAGAAATCACTGGCATTTATGGTTTATAACCATGTTAAACAGTTAAATAAGTACTGAAAAATACACAGTCAATACACTTTCTTATCTCTTGCAAATGAAGTAGGAAATTGTACATTTTTTTTTTAATAAAAAACAGCATGAGTAGTTTCAGGACTATCAATAACATGTCAATGTGGACAAGCAGATCATAGGTCTGTATTAACAAAATACATTTCTTGTAAAGAACGAGATATACTTTTGAGACAAGTTGGGTGAGGTAATATATCTTTTATTGGACCAACTTCTGTTCCGGGATGCGAGCAGACACCGTGCCCTTATGCAGTACTTTTGCAAAGACTTCAGGGCGTTTTATGACCATGCATAAAAAAGGCTTCACAAAAAGTCAAGGAAATAAAGTTGATAAGTATTATCCCAACCTTACAGACAGAAAAACAGCAATGCACAGCAAGGTCAGATACTTCACCCAAGAGGACAAGTAGGGGCAAAGCTGGCTATAAATCTCAGGAATCCTGTCTCAAATCACACAAGCCTTCTATGAAAACCCACGAGACAGTCAGCTGGTTTCGTTACCAGCTAGTCACTGGCCCTTGGACGGACCAGGGTCGCGAACCTTTCAGAGAGCCCAAGTTGCAGCCCTTGACACCTGCCTCAGCCACTTCCCCGTGTCTGCTACTCTCCCGCAGCGCACCGGGACTAACGGCTGGGGGCAGGGACCCGACGCCGGTTCTTGTCTACACGGCCTGGCCTGCGCAGTTATTTGGGGACTCGTGATCCGGGAGGGCCCGGGGAATCGCGCGCAGCCGGAGGTCTAGCGGCTCCCAGCACCGAGGCAGGCGGACACGCATCCAGGGAGCCCCTTCCCAGGCGGGTGGGTCTCTAGTCAGGGAAACTCCGAGCGGGGGAGTTACGCTGTGCCTAGCCCGGCAACACCGCTGCCGCCCCAGTGCCTCGGCCTAGCCCCGCTGCCCCACGTCCAGGCGGCAGCTGCCTCCATTCTGTCCCCCCACGCGACCGCAGCGCCTCAGGCTGGAGAATCGGGCCGGGCCGGGCCGGGCCTAGCCAGCAGACGGGACGCAGCCGGACTTACCCGGAGAGCGCAGACGACGCAAGACAGGCCCCGGCTCCGTGTTTACCAACTAGGCCTCAGCTCCCCTCCACTGTCCCATAATGCACCGCGCCGCCGGCTCTGGCGCCGCCTCTTAAAGGAACCCGTGGGGGTGCTGCTGCTTCTGCCAACCCCCGGCGGACGCCGCCCGCCCCCGAGACTTGGCAGCCGCACCCCGAAGGGCTTCTCCTGGGCTGCAGGCCCCGCGCCCAGCACCCGCGTGTGACTGTGCTGCGTGTGCGGCGGGCTGGGGCCTCTGAGATCGGTCCGAAACGCCGCGGGACGCTGCAGAGCCCTGCCCCGCGCCAGCCATCTCCGCCAGGCACCCGGCCGCCCCTTCTGCTCCTCGGCCGCAGAATAACCTCATTCTGGGCAGCGTTTCCTTCACCACATCCCTCAGGGCGCAATCTTACGCAGCTTCTCCGGGCAGTAAAACACTTCTGAATGGCACCGAATTAAATGCGTCCACACGCTCTTTGTGCCAATCCCAACCCAAACGAGTCCGGCCTGGATTTAGATACTTCCCGCCGCGTTTATGAAGTAAGGGCGGTAGTGCTGTGGTACTGTGCCCGGGGTAGTGTTTTGATGCGAGTGTTATAAATAGATGTCGGTGTGGCCAAGGTAGGCCTGATTTTAGGGCCCGCCCGGGGCTGAGCTTCTGGGAGGGGCTGAACTCGCTCGCCTCCAGGAGAGGAGCCCATTCAGTGCCTCTCAGGAGTTGCTCAGCGCTTGGCAGGATTGGGCCTCCAGGCCGTAGCCTGTCAACGCCTGGGGGCAGGGGTTGCTTGTTTTCTGTGGCCAGGACAGCTCCAGCAGGCAGCTTGTCTGTGCTTAACAAATAAGCAATACATATAGAATAGCACCACAGTTAGCAGCGGGCTAGATGATGCGCTAAATAGCTCATGAGACCCAGAAAGCCGAACGGCCCAGCCTCAGTGAAATGCAAAGCAATAAACAGCCTCCAGGGGCCAAAGCGTTTAAAGCCCAGTCTCGGGCCCAGCGACTTCACGCGTGGTGGGCTGCGCCTTGCGCGCAAGGCTGACGGCTCAGTAGCTCAGGCAGTGACAGACGTGCCTGCGGCCAGCCCCACCCCCACCCCTGATTGACAGCGGCTCTTCCTTTCCCTATTGGTGGAGAGCGGCCCAGAACCAGCCCGTCACCCATTGGCGCAGCCGGAACGTTGGTCGCCGTGTCAAGCAGCCTATGGGAGGGGCGGTTGATGTTTAAAAACGGCCCCGCGAGCGGGGGAGAGGAGGGGGCGCGCGTGGTGTCTGCGCTACGCGGCTGGTGAGTGCGTTGGGTAGGGGGTGCGCTTGCCTCTTGCGCGCTGGGGCTGTTTGGGAGCTGCTCTGGCTGGGTTTGTTGCAGGGGCTCTGGCGCTGTCTGTGCTTTTCCTTCTCTCTACGTGCGGCTGCCTCCTCCAGTGAGCTGTCTCCTTGCAGGGGGAGCAGGGCTGGGGTTGGCTTTCCCTTCCCGCCTTGTGTTAATCTCCACTACTTCTGGTTTTCCCTGGGCGTGGTATGGAGGCGTCTAGGATGAGGCTGTGGCTAAGCTCTGTTGGGTGCCAGGTTTGTATAATTTTTGGTGGTGCCCAGAATGGGTCCAAGCAGAGCTGTCCAGTCCATGGGATGGACTGGAGACACTGCCCTGGGCTTTGAGGGGCCCTGTGCTTCAGGGGGATGTGGGGTCCTGGGGGCCTGGTGCTGGCAGGAGTGAGTGACCTGGCTCCAGCCTGTTGGCTCCTAGTGCCTCTTGGGGGAGGGTGTTGAAACTGGAATGAGGCAGGGTGGGAGTTTGGGGGAAGGGGTGGGGAGTGGAGTGCGGCTGGGAAAAGGTGGGGCAGAGTGGGGTGGGCTGGGGCCAGGTTGCTTGCTGGGGCTAGGTCCCCTGCTAATGCCTGGTGTCCTCCTGAACCCCATGTCTCCCTGAAGTGTGGGGGCCCCCAAAGTGTGAGACCTGGGGCAGTTGCCCCAGTCTATCCTGTGGATGGGATGGCTCTGAAAACATAAGCCCAAACATTGGTGGAGCTGAGCCCATGTTCCTGAATATTGGTGGAGCAGAGGCACCATGGGCCCATATAACTTGCCACCTATGCAGTCTGTTCCCCTCTGCAGGTTGGAGTCTTGCTGTCTCCTCTAAGAATTGCGTTGTTCCGGCTCCTCCTAGCGCCTCCTGGGGACTCTGGCCAGGTAAGTGCAGGCTCCTTTGACAGTGTGGGGGTGGGGACTGTTCAAAGTGTCTGATAGCCTCAAACTACTATCTACTTCAGTGTAATCCCTTGCAAATAACCTCATTCTGGGCAATGTTTCCTTCATCACATCCCTCAGGGCACAATCTTCACCCTCTCATCTCTTGATGTAAATGGTACAAGTACTACCTTGGCTTGCTGTTCAGAGCTTCTTCCTCCGTTCCCTTTTACGCTTAACAAGATGTAAAGTGCTAACACTAGTGGTAGTCTAGTTACTGCCATCTCATTGCATGAGTTGTTCTCGTGCAGTAACACTAATCTGAGTTTAACAGTCTTCCAGAAATGTTTCCCCTTCATTATATTTCCACAATCTACTGACTAAACCCAAGGTTGAGGAAACAGACTTGTCTTGTCTCAGCTCCTTAAATTATAGTAAGACTAGGTGTGCTGACCAGGCACAAATGATGCTCATGTGGGAAGTTTTCAAGTTGATGCCCCTTTGAGGTTCTCTTGCCTACTTTAAAGTCTCTGTTGAAAACTGCCTCTTTCTGACCCTTTACCTTAATTAGGAGCTGACTGCAGACTACTAAAGCAGGCTGGGAAATCATGTGATTGAGTTTCCAAATTTGGCAGTCATTTCTGACATTATAGTGGAAACATTAATTTGCACTTGCAAGTAGTAGTCTTTTCATCTGAATGTGTTCTGTTTATTCTCTTATAATTAGTCAACTTGTCTAATGTTGACTGGTAAATTAGAATAAATGTATGTGTTCTGTAAAAGTAATCCAGATCAGGCAGTGAGACTTCCTACAATAATATGTCCAGCTCAAAGCTTGGCAAGAATATGGTGCCCAAAATAAGGTGGGTGTATGTATGCCTCTGTAATCTAAACTCAGATACCACTTAACTTGAAGTTTTATAGTTGAATACATAGCCATTGCTAAGTATGGCTGTGCAAAATGAGGACAGGTCTCACTTAAATCAACTCTTATCCAGGAAACATCAAATGACAGCATAGTCATAAATGCTCCCTCTTAAAGACAGAATCCCCAATGTATGCTTGTATTAGGAGAGTCACTAAAGTCATGACTGTCTTCGGTGCTTGTGTTCCCTGAGGACCTGGTTATAACTTAACAGACAAATGTAACTTTTTTCTTGCAGCGATCTCATTATGCTGAAGATGGCAACCCTTATATTCACAGACAAAGAGAATGAAGGAGATATTGGTGCTGCTCCTAAGGATCGGCTAAGGTTGTCCTCAGTATCTTGTGAGTATATGTTGCTATAGAAATTAAATTTTGAATCTGTGAACCAAAACAAGATGTCTAGTGACATAAACCAGGAACATGCCTGGTTCATTGCTTCTTCAGAACTGAAGAATAGCATAAAAGTTGTGGCAAAGATTCAGTGTGGTAAACTATTCTCAGAACACCATTTAAGCTACTTTTACCTGTCCTGTTCTCCCTTTTAAGGGATATATTGAGAACCTGTAACTGAGTTCAGAGACCACTTCCTCTGTGACCACTGGAGTGGGTGTGACTATAGAGAGGCATTTAAGACTATGGCTATATTGGCATGGCCCTAGTGCAGACACAGGTTACACTAACGGAAGGAGCCTTTCTGGTGGTATAGGAACAGTACCTCCCCAAACAAAGTTAGCTATATGAACAGAAGTTCTCTTGTCTGTGTAGCTGTATAAACACTGGGGTTGTTTTGTTAGCATTGTTGTCAGTCTGGGTATGGGGTTTTTCACACAGCTATGCCAATATCTGGTCTAAATGTAGACCACACCTTTGATTCTTAACTCTGTCTGGAAGCATTTGACTGCACCTAGGTCATGAAGTCCTCTTACTAGGCAGAAAACTTGAAATAGCTAAAAGTAGCCTGTCTCAAGCACTTGCAAAGCTATGTACTGACTTTTTCTAAGTAAAACTCAAAAAAAAAATTTTCTCCCTGCAGCAAAAGTCTTATTTGAAAGATCACAGACCCAGACTCCACTTGTTGGAAGAACAGCTAATGCAACTCCAGCCCGGTCTCAGTCTGTCAGAAAGGCTCTGGGAAATGTAAACAGGACTTTGGGAACCACAAACAAGAAGGAAATTTGGAAACAGAAAAAACAGGTTTTGCCTGCCAAGAAAGTACGTACCTAAAGGTTTCAGCAAGAACTGAACATACACTATAGCTCTCTACCCAGTTAGTTCCTGGAAACAAGAGCAGAGGCTGGATACTGGTATTTCTGTACAGGGAAATGGTGTCTGAGTGCAGGAAGACTCAATGTTTATGGAAACCAAATACTATTACTAATAATAAAATCTTCCCCAGATTGGAAGAAGCAGATGTTGCCTTCTATGTGGAATGTTAGCTTTTCTGGTAGAAAAGCAGTTAGGCAGGGAGTGACCTAACCCAAATCCCAAGTAATGGGATACAGCGTACTGCTTATGTTGAGGTCTACCTGGTCAGATAGACCCTGCCCAGCAACCCTCCAAATTTGTCTGCCCTGTGTAAAATGAGCTGGTCTGTCTTAATATCTAGTGAACTACATGTTGTCTGACAGATATGGAGTCCTTTGCATCAAGTATGGTCTTGTAGGAATTCCCAACAATCGAACTGGAACATTAATATTTTATTAAAAGCAAAACTAGCTTAAGGAGTCTTGCTTATGTGCACAAATTCTGGGACTCAAGTCTTTTCCAGAAACTGCTTTTGATCTTGCTAGCAAATGACTCTGCAGTATAGAGGATGAACACTTTGTTAGACTACTGGAGGATGACTAATCATGTACTCTTTCTTAGACTACTGGAAAGTCCACTCAAGTGGAAAGTTGCAATGTGGCCACTGAAGAAGCCTATCCAGAAATTGAAAACTTCTTTCCCTTCAATCCTCTCGGTGAGAACTAACTGATGTAAATATAAGACCTATTTGTCTTTGAACTTGTCTTAGCCTCTTAAGTAGACCTAAAGAGAGCCTGAAAGTCAAGGCCCCACCTTGCTTTCCATAGGTGGGTTTTAGCTAGGATGTTGTAGAGCTAGCTTTGGATGTAACTCTTGAAATCCCTTGGCTATTATCTTAGACCTTGGTCCATCTCATGCTTTGCTGCACAGTGCACTTGCCATCCTTGCCTGTCAACTGCCCTTCTCTCCAGATCTTCCCATCTCATATTGAGGTGCTTGATGTCATTCCGAACTGTTAATTTCCATGTTGTTCAGTCTTCCTCTTCTTGCATTTTCTGGCTTCTGTTCAAGGGCAGTATTTGGTAAGCGTTCTTTTTCCATTCTCTGCACATGTCCCAGCCAATGATGTTGTTGTCTTTTGTAGATTATTTGTGAGAGGGTGCCTTGTCCAGTAATTTTTGTGACTACTTCATTAGTCTTCCTATCTGTTATTCCCAATATTCTTCTCAAATGTTTGTGATAGAATGCATCCAGCTTTTGCATATCTTTCTTGGTAAGTTGCCATGTCTCACTGTTATATGTTGTGATGGTGATAATTGCTTTGTAGACATCTAGTTTCATCTTGAGGGAGATGCTGCATTTGCCTTCCAGAGTCTTTCTTCCTCCTTTCCTCAGAACTAGTACCATCTTGGCTGATGGTACTTCTATTAAGGCTTACTAAAACAAATATAAGGGAACCTTGGTAGATATTGGTACTACTTCTGAAGTACTTTGAAGGGTATCACAAGAGAGAATGAGATCATGTTAAAAAAAACTTGAAGTGGTTCATGTCTTGATGGCAGGTATTCTTGAGCTTTCATGCCAGCTCTGAATAAATGCTTAACTTATTCACTGTGGGGTGAGCATTTGTAGCAAGCACTAAAATCTCTAGCAGGCTGGGCACTGAGTGGTGGCTCATGCCTTATGCTAAATTGCATTTAAATAATGAGATCCTACCAGGATGTTGTGTAAACACTAATGAAGTTGCAGGCCTTCAGTGGGAAGGTGGTCCTGACATTCTTGTGTACTACACTTTAGTTATGAACATAACACCTCCCCTTAATCCAAAATAACAAATTGTTTGTGTTTAAATTGTCATTGTAGGTGCTTGATTACTAAAAGCTGTCTTTTCAGTATATTTGAAAAGAAACTAAATCATTTTGAAAAACTCAGTGCTCCCTTAAGGTAAACCTTCAAGGTAACATGCCCTTTCTTGGAAGCATATAGTCTAGTAATTATGACACTTACCACAGGGGCTATTTGCAACAAGTAACTATCTCTTAAACACACACGCCTCAACACACACAGGTCCATCAAATGCCAGGCAGCCTAATAGGAGGGGGATCCCTTACTGCCTCTGTCAGTTTCTACACTACCTGATCTAGCAGATTTAATGTTCTAGTTCCTAGTAGAACTTCACTTCTAACAGTTCTGTATTCTCTAATCAAGAGGCAAATGGATTGCACAGCCTTTGCCTACATGATTCCATATGCTGGCAAGTTCTTAGTACCTGCTATCTTGAATTTATTGAGTAAACATACTTGTAGCATTTAGCTGCCTGTGAACTGTCAGCCTTTCAACACATGTTCAGGTCTAAGGGGACAGCCTTCACACAAACAGCAGTCTGGTGGAAAGTCATTTAGCTCTCTCAAACCTGAAATAAACTAATTTCTCTGAACAGACTTTGAGAGTTTGGAAGTTCCTGAAGAACACAGACTAAGCCACATGTCCCTGACTGGGGTTCCTCTATTGATATTTGACAAAAATATACCTGACAGATGTATAAACATGGTCCCATCACCTGTGAAGCTGTCCCAGATTTCATGGGAATGTGGTAAGGCCTGGGCTGGATTTCCGTGTGACTTGTTTTGTTGGCTGGTGGGGTGGTGGTGGGTGGATAAGAGGACAGGGAACTTATGGGTAACAACCACTGTTCCCTCTAAGCTATGCGTGTGCATGTACACACAGATCCTAAACCCCATGCACGTGGCAAAACACCACATGCACAACAATTTGCACAGAAATTTTTTTGCACATACAGCCTGTCAAAAATTAGAGGGAACATTGGTAACAACCCTTAACAGTTATTGGGAGTCTAACCTACTGAAATAATACTTTAGCACTGATAAAACTAGTTCTGGGATACATGACCAAGCCTACTCTTCATTCAAATGAATGCATAATGTGGCCCTTAGAAACCAACATAATTACAAAGGCCTGGCCTAGACTTAAATCTATGCCCCTGGGTGCTATAGCTATGCCAACCTAATCTACTGTGTAGACCCAGATAAGTTAAGAATCCTACATTCATTCAAGGAGCTGACTGCATGGATGGGGAACAACCATTTCTCTTGCTGTCAGCTGCATCTACCTACTGTGTTTTGCAACCATACCAGTGTCTTATGTATGCCACTAGAGTCCTTGTCGTATATACATGAGATTATTGTAACAACAACTCACAATAACTGAGCAATCTAACTTCCTCAACACGAGGCATCCAGCAACAGGGTTTGTCACTATAGTCTACGCAGACTAAACTGGTCTGTAAGTGGTCTTGTGCATAATTCTATTGCTAATTCAAGAGCACTAAACCACCAGCTAAAGGATTTAGATCTTTGAAACCTCTAATTGCCAACTCTTAAATCATTAAACTCTGAAATATAAGACATAATAGAATGTGGGGTTTCATGAGAAATTGACTTACTCCCTTTTTTAACTCTTTCAGAATTGCTACAATCAACTGCCAACTTTCTCTCTACCTTGGATGAAATCATTGACTTGCCACCTTTTGAGTGACTTTTAAAGTGAATTTGGAAGCTTTTTTTAATTGAGCACTGAATAGCTTTGAATCTTTTTTGTATCTTCTAATAATAAAGAACTAGGTTAACTTGCATAACCAAAGACTTGGGTCTGATCTATGTAGAAACGATCTTGCCTATAGCAGATGGTTGGTTACCAGAAACTAGACAGTGACAGAATGTTAGTTTGATGACAAAGGATTGCAGCAAAACTAGAGTCCTGCTCTTCAATTCAGCAATACCTGAAATCTAACCAAAACTAGGCTTCTGTCTTAGCAAAGGAAAATTTTTTAGCCAAAATCTCTACTTGAGTGCCTAACTGAAGTGGCTTTTATTCCTGGGTTGTGGTGGAGACCTCCTACTGCCTTCATTGTAACCTTCAGGTCTGTAGCACAGGTGACCTTTTTTTGGGGTAGGCAGTTTGATACCTGATAAGATTAGAAACTGTCCTTGGTAATTGCTGCATTAGATGCTACTTCATGCATTAAGCATCCAGTTTCTAGTTTTCTGTAGAAATACTAGCCAAAAACAACTGGATGAGCTGAGTAGAGATGAGTGCATAGATTTTTTTTTTTTTGCCCTTTTTTCTCTGTCCTTCACTTAAATTGAACACCACTCTCCTCCCTGCAGTGAATATCCAGCCTAGTGGATTGGGAATCAGGAAACCTGGGTTCTACTCCTGGCTCTCTGCCATGGGCCTCCTGGGTAACCTTGATGTCTTTTCACTTCTGTTCTTCAGTTTACTCACCTGTAGTGGTGGTCTTGAGCTTCATAATTGGCTAAATGAGCACTAGGTATTAGAGCAACTGCACTGCATTCAAGCTCCAATACTGGCCATGATCCATCTAGTTCAGTAGCCTGCCTGAATAGTGGCCAGCACCAGACCAGGTACAAGAAACCCTGCAGTTAACAGATGCTGGACAGCTTGTTCCAGCCCTGGTGTCCACCTCCAGGGTGGTGACCAGCTAAAGCTAGTAAGCAATTCTCACATTGCTTCCAAAAGGCTTAACTTCTGAAGGATAAAAACATGAGCTGTAAATGTCCAGTCACTTACCAAGTCCAGATGAGTTCTTGGCCTCTACATTCTGAATTACATAAACCATTTCCTACTGTCTATTCTGAATTTGTCACCTAATTCAATTTTTTTTTCCCCCTTGCTGTTGCTTTAAGGAGTGTCTTGCCTCCGGTCTCTCATCTACCTTTTAATATACATTTTCCTTAGCCACTTTTCAATCTTCTCTCATTTGTGCCCCATCATTCTTATTACCCTTTGAGCCTCCTGATTGTGCAGTCTCTCTTTTTGTGAGATGCAGTAATCATACTATTCCAGCTGAGAGCATAACCTTGTTTTGCGGAAAATATTTATTAAGCAATTACTACTCCCCTTTTTAAAAAATCCTGAGATTTTTAAACCAATAACATAAAATCAAATGATGGTGAAGGATGGACTCTGCTGAGCTGAACTTCAGGCAAAGTCTGTAAGTGACAGCAATACGTACAGGCTACACTAGCCAGTGAAAACAATGAGGTGATTCACAACATGGTTATTTCTTCAATAACCATTTAAGTTAACCCTCTGACTAATTGGCATGGGGGAGACTTCAGCAACTAGTGCAATATCAAAGGATAGCTACAATTGAAACCAAACTCAGTCTTGCTACTAATTGATTTAAAAGTAAAATTGTATGATAATGATTGACACTTTCCTCTTCAGAGCATGAGGAATCATAAAAGGAGTGGGCTGTTTGCCCACCCACGTTTTTTTTCCTAGGAGGAGCAGTCTTAGAGGAGGGCTGCAGAAAGCTGACTTGAATTAAACAAGACTGCTTACTTGTCTGAGGAGCTCCTCTTGGTGCTTGCTTTTTGGAGGTCTTGGTATAGGTTCCCATGTTAAGTGGTAAGTCTCTAATTTGTTACTTTCACTCTTTTGTTAATGGCCAGTAAATGCCAACTTAATAGGTGGAGCAAGGTTCTTAGTGTCATTTAACTGAAATGGAAATGAGCTGCAGTCAGCAGTAGGGTAATGACTGTAGTACTATCAGACTCTGCTTAAAAGAAGAGCAAATGACCTGGAGATACAAAGCCCTATCCCATCTGACACATGCCAGAGGCTTGGAGTTGATGTCAAGTGAGTAAGTGATTAATCTGATTTTGATTACCTTTGATTTCTCCATGTGAAAATAACTCATGCTGTAAGGACAGAAAACAATCAAGCTGGGCTAAGACCTTGTTTTATAAACAACTTATACAATGAAATTCGCTAATTCCTGCCAAGCAGAGGAAAAGCTTTGCTTTTCCTGGTAGCTTGTCATATAAGCATTTCTTAAACTTATGTAAAGTAATATAGAGAGCTGGCTTGCTCTAAGAGTGAAAGAGGTACACTTTCAATCTAAAATTAGTGGTCATTCTTCACTAAAGTTTAATAACCCTATTTAGGGGTTGAACAGTTCTCTCCTGCTAGGATCTACTGTAACATTTACTTGAAATATACATGCAAACTGCCTTTCTCCTTGCCCCCCTGTGTGGGGAGAGATGCTTAGTGGGAAAGAGGCACACTGTTCCAGAAATCCTAACTGATGCTACACAATCACACTAAAATAATAAGGGAGTATGTAGCAGTGGGCTAATAAACTTCAGTTTTATTGCTCACTCTTTCCTATCCTGTCAAGTTCATTCAAATCAGCAATGGTTCCCACAGCCAAACAAATGTAGCAGCCTTTGTGATAGGGCTGTAAAGCTACCTTTTCAGAAGCTGTAGCATGTTGACAATAAAACAACCTTTTGCCATTGATATGACTTTGTTCAGTAACATACTGCTTGCAATAACACTTAGTTCAGTGGAATCTTCCACAACAGAAGGATTTGACAGGTGTAATAGCAGAATATAAAATTAGCCTAGCTTTTCCCAGCATATTGGTCAAATAACTCTTTCCTGAAAGAATCAGGGTAGGTAGGTATATTCTGGTTGTGTAGAATGACTTCAGGATGAATATTATTCTGAAGCTGTTTGTTCATTTACGTTTTTAGTATAGCTTACAGCGCATTAACTAGAGCAGCTTGGAACCTTTTCTGACCACATGTGTTTTTTTTTTTTGTCAAAATGTTTCACCAAAGCAAAATGTTTTGCAGAGACTTACTGAGTTAGAGGGAAAGTTTTCTGAAATCCCAGGCTCTTTGATTAAAGACTCAAATTGAAAACTTGACTTTATTGATCAGAAAACAGACTACTTCACCACAAGTTCGTTTAGCAAAAATTGCTTGAAAGGTTTTGTTTGTATCCATGCAGAACAAAAACAACCTCAAGTTATTGTAAGACACCCTCTGGCTACTGTAGTGTTTAAAATTAGCTGCCTTGCTGCTTTTGCCTATTCCCAATTTTAAGTAGAATTTGTCTTTTTAAATCAAATAGGATGGGCTCACACATACTTGGAGGCAGCTCAAATATTATCTAGTTAGTCCATAGAAATTAGAGCCTAACAACCAATTTCATAATTCACTGTGCTGAGGGAATCCCACAATCTCTTACAAAGCAAAGAGCCAACATTCTCCATGGGGATAGAACAAGGCCTTCAGGTGCTATTACAATACAAACAGGATCAGTACCATATTGTACTTTGTGCACAAATGATAAACAATAGTCCCTCTGCTGCACAACTAGCTTGTTTCACTCAATTTTGAGTGAGTGCTCAACAATAGGAGGGAGCAAGAAGAAACAACCCAAAATCTTATATTTAATAGGTAGCAATTGTAACCATCAAAACGGTCATTTTGCAATTGTATTTTTCTTTGGATTTTGTTAGTGCAGGATGTGTCAGCAATATCATTTACTTGAGTCATCCAAACGAGTGTTGAGACAGAAGTGGGTGAGGAGAGATGTGAAGGTCAGTGGCTTTACAGATTGAGGCTGGAATTTTCAGAAGATAGCCGCCTAGCTCACCTGGGCTAACTCCGTTAGCTCTAACTCCCCTTAACTCAATTTTCTCTGGTTGGCAAAATGAAGGAGATGGGATGGGCATGTATGGTGTGACTAAGATATAAAAAGCCTTAAACACAAAGACTAGAAACTTGATGTGGTGAAATGGTGGGAGCCTGTGTAGGCTTTTGAAGCTCTGCCCATGTGGTCTGAGAGCTAAGATAGTCATAGTGGCCTATCATGTACACTTTAAATGGATCAGATGGGGTGGTACTGGTTGGTATTACAGAAGCTGCAAATGAGGAGCATGTGAAGATGAGGCCTTCAACTAGTTTTAGCTGAGTGGATGGAAAGGTCATTTCTGGAAATCTTACAGATAAAGAAACGAGAATTTAAATGCAACCTGGATGTGTTGCTTAAGAAAGGGAACAGTCAAAAATGAACCCTAGGTTACAGGCCTGAGGGGAGGATTAGCACTGGTAACAGTGAGAGGGCAAGAAGTGCTTCCTGTATTACAACTGAAAGACAGAGTATGAGATGCATTATCAGTTTAGATTATGGGGTTTTCCCTAGGTTGTGTGCACATATAGATCACAGCATTTGAGGCCCCCATTCTCCAAACAAGCACAGGGCTTTAAAATCCACATTACAAGGCTTATTGCATTTATGTGGAGTAAATGCTTACATCAGCAGTAAGGCACGCTTGAATCAAGTAGTGGTTAACTTTCTGATCACAGTTGGTCAGTCAAAAGCTTTAACAACCCAGTATTCCTGACCTTAAATCAGTATTACATTTAACTTTTGGAGGTTTGGACTGTGACTATTCTGCATATGTCCCTAAAACGGACAACTTCATTATAATTAGCCTGCGTTGTTTTTAGCTATTAAAAAGGGTTTAGGCAATTCTGGGAGACAGTATTTGATTTTAATTTGTAAAGGAAAAATCTTTAGGTTAAATAACTATTATCAGAATTTAAACCCCACACAGTCCAAGTAATCAGATGAACATTACTTCTCCCTCCTGCACCAACTGCAGCTGCTGCCAGGGAATAGAGCTGCAGCAGAAATGCTGACACAGCCTATGGATTAAAATAGTAGGTTCAGCACTTCCTAGGGTGTTAAGGCCACAGGTTTTGTGTAATGAATACTGTGGTTTGCTCCAGTCATTCTTTGCAAAAGGCTGGCAACAGGTCCT